GCCCCCCGGCGGGACGGGGCCGGGGAGCGGGGACAGGGGCTGGGGGCCCCCACTCGCTGCCCCTGCTCCCGCGGGGAGCTCGCCGTCTGGGTGAGAAGCCACCTCAGCACACCTTCGGGCAATACCTCGGCAACACCACACGTAAAACCTTCTCTTTCTTTCTTTCTCTTTAAGGCTATGTAATTTCTCTGTTATGTCTGAGATTTTGCTCCAGGTCAGAACGCAGCTACATGGGTTTTAATTGATTTTTTGCAATGCTTTCAACTTGAGGTTTTCTTTATTTTAACCACTCCTTGCCTTTTAATCCCAAAGAGGTAGCAAACGACATTAATCACAGCACTCCTGAACCGAGAGCCAGCTGCGACTGCTTTAACGTCTTCTTGGCTTCTTCAAGTCCCGCTTTGAGGTTCCCATTGAGCGAGGTCCTGGAGCGCACACTTCACTTTCGACGTGCACTCACAGGCACGGCTGAATCGGGAACTAAATTATCGTCGTTACTATTATGATGATCAGCTCTGGCGCCCTGACACGAGTGGCCAGGGCTGCGGTGTGCCCAGCGCCGCTGGAGGTGCAGGGTGGAGGGAAGGTCTTGCAGCCTCCAGGCAAGAGACGGGTGGAGAAGCAGCACCTAGATGAAGCAGAGCACCTCGGCGGCGGTGGGCTGCCCTCCCCTTGAGCTAGAGGGTGGAAATACAGACTGCCACCAAGCCTTGGTGTCACTTGGCCGGAGCTCAGAAGAAAATGACGCTGCCTTCCCTAAAAAGATCAGTCCTTGGTATTTTTTAACACAGAGGAGCCCGGGGAGCATGGTCGCAGCACGGCCCCACCAGCGCTGTCGTGGGGAGCCATGGTCTCCAGCGAGGCAGCCCACGGACACCTCGCCGGGCGGCCGGCGTCCTCCATACGCCCGCTGCAGCAATGTTGCACGTACAGCCCGAGCAGCTGTAATTACTCAGTAAACAACAACGCTAACGAGATAATGGCACACAAACCTTTCTGCAGGATCTTCTCTAATTTTCAGCGTTAGCTGGGTGTGGGAGAAAACCCAGTAGGTTAAATTAACACTATGGGTGTAAATCAAATTAAATGTACAAAATCCCCCGTAGGGTCAGAGCACAGTGGGACCCACCCTTACAGATTTGACTACTAAAACGTGTTTCATTTGACTCGGATCATTTGGGAGTGAGGAGGGAGGGACGGGATCAAACAACGAACCGTCGCTGCCGCAATCGCAATCGCACCCCACCTCCCTCGGGAGGGGGGCAGATCGGCGGCCGCTGCCAGGGGCGTGGGGGGGCTCGTCCCCTCACCGCCCCGGTTGACACAGCACCTGCAAGTGAGCGGGGAAAGCGTGCTGGGGGACGAGGACCTGGGCGTGGGGAGTGAGGGAAGGAGCTGGGCTTGAGAAGAGCAGAGCAGAGGGGGAGACGCTTGGTAAAGGACGTGTAGGCAAAGGCACGTGCTCAGGGATGGAGAGTCAATTTTATCTGCGTCCAGGGAACATTCTAGCTGCCCAGTGGCCCCTTCTTCTTCTTCTTGCCTGGGCTACATTTCACCCTGATCAGCACCGTGCGGCTGCAGAAGCAGGCGTGTGCCCACGTGGTGGATCCAAGCCTTGGATCACACAGCCAGGCAGAGCCCAACACCGCCGAAAGGCACAGTCCTTTGGCAGCGCCGTGGCAATCTCTTTGAGCTGGGCCTGCAGCACGGAGCTCAGCAAAGGGAACTTCACACTCAGCCCCCGGTGGGATCTTGCCCCCAGCCACCATCCCTCCTGCATGGAAACGGAGGGACACCGGCAGGGACACCGGCAGGGACAACTCCACGGGCTGCACGGGGCTGCTCTGCCCACGAGGCCAAGTGCGCAGTCACCCGGCACCCCTTTTCTGGTGATTTCTGACAATTTTGAGCCAGACTGGGTTGGATGGAGGTGAGACCCCGGCTGGTACAGAAGCCCAGCTACTCAACAGCACAGCCTGTGGTCTCTGGCTCCCAGCAAAGCTCAGATGGGGGCATTCACCTGACCTCGCTGACCATGCAAGAGAGGCCACAGCTTCACATCCTTGGGAAGATGAACCTTCATCTTCTGC